GGCCGCGGAGCGGGTGGCGGCCCTTGAGCTCCCCTTAGTGTCGGGAAGGAGCATTTTTAATAAACACACGCCGTCTGTGGAGATCGCTGTGGGGAGGCCCCGGTAGTTCAGCACTGTTGGGTTATTGGGGAGGGTACCCGGAGCTCGTCCCGCAGGTCCCATCACGCCGGTGGCACCCCCGTTAGGGGTATGTCCAGGCATTGCCCTTGCTGGGAAACCTTTATTTGACGCAAGAATTGACATGAAGATAATTCAGGCCTGGCTGTCCCCATGCTAGTTTTATCCAGTGGTTCTGAAAGAAATCAGGTTTTTTTTTCTTTTTGAAATTAAATAAGGGCTTTTCTTCTACCAAAACACAACATAGAAGTGAGTATGGCAACGTATATCAGGTGAGGAGCTGCCGCAGATGTCTGTGATTTGAATTACAAGTGTGGAATTTAGTGTGAACTTCTGAATCTGCTAAAGCTGGACTTCAAATTTTTACTTCTGGCACCGGGACTCCTGGCTCTCGTGGGAAGCGAGCCTGCAGCCTGAGAGTCTCATGGCCTCCACGACTCCTTCAGCTCATCTACCTCTTATGGGAACTGGGAAGAAATTCTTCCTGCTTTAATGACCACATTAGTGACTTCTTTCTGGTTTCACCCTGGTTTGGACAGAAAAGGATCAGACATAAAATGTGCTGCCACCACCTAGCATCCTCTGCTGTTTATTCACAGCTGGGCAGCGCTTCTCCAAGAGGATCCGTCGGGACAGACACAGTCAGGAAGGGTGAAATCACGGGCACCGTGACTTTGCCACAGTGGTCCCCTCCAATGGATGCCATTTCTTGCACGTGGGACACACTGCAGTGGGCTCAGTTCTTCTCCTGCAGCTCAGACATGCTCTGCATCAGCAAGCAGAAACGGCTGTGTTTCTAACTCTTGTGTGAACTTTGTGCCTGCAGCTCTCCTCCCAGCTGGTGGGCTTCCCTCTCTGGACCGGGCATGCAGAGTGGTTTTATGAAGGCAACGTTTGTTTTCCTGCCAAGCTCTGGTTTTGCCAGCACAGTAATATTAATACAGGTCCTGGTCCTGAGCCCCCTGCTTCCCTTCCCTGTCCAGGATGAACTGTACTGGTGTGGGCACTTCTGTACCGATTCCTGCATCCCCACTGAATGGAGGGGGCTGTGCCAATGCTGACAGGCAGCTGCATGTTTTGGCTT